GCAAGTCGCAACTGTCCACGCTGTTGTAGCTCACGAGCAAGAAAGTAGCGGAGAGCAATGTGCTTTGTCCTGTGCTCCAGTCGCTGCTCTCAACACAAGGCCAGCATGGCCTTGTTGTCTACGTACAGGACTGGAGGAGAACGAGGCGGCTCTCCAAGGTCGGTCAGCAGGTAGGTGAGCCAGCGAAGCTCCTGGGCAGCCATAGCCCCGTCGTAGATCTTGAGAAGATATGAACGAGAATGAAATGACTATGAACGAAGTGAGTACAAATAGGAAACCCTAATTTGGGTTGTACCCCCTATGGGATACCCCACTATAGCCTACAGAAACAAGTAAGCTATATGTTCTGACACACCCCCATAGGCAAAGTGGGGGAGAACAAGGGGTCACAAGACCAGTCAAGCAAAGCAAAGCAAAGCTCAGGGTGGATCACAAAGTCACCACGCATTCCGAGCACAAGTTCAAAGGCCAGAAGGCCAGTTCACATGCAAGATCATATATAGAGATATACAAGAGTCAAGTAAGCAAGAGCAAGAGTATATATAGGCGAAGGTACAAGCAAGGTCAAGAGGAGAGCAAGTGAGGCAAGACAGGCACAAGACCCAACTGCGTGCAACAACGCTGATGATCACAAGGCGCAAGTGCCTTGGTGAAGACATCAGCAGTGTTGGCCTCAGAGGCCACGTACGCAAGTCGCAACTGTCCACGCTGCTGTAGCTCACGAGCAAGAAAGTAGCAGAGAGCAATGTGCTTTGTTCTGTGCTCCAGTCGCTGCTCTCGACACAAGGCCAGCATGGCCTTGTTGTCTACGTATAGGACTGGAGGAGAACGAGGCTGCTCTCCAAGGTCGGTCAGCAGGTAGGTGAGCCAGCGTAACTCCTGTGCAGCCATAGCCCCAGCGTAGATCTCAGCCTCACAACTGGAGCCGAGAACAGAAGACGAGCGGGTAGCCCGCCACGAAACAGAGCCGAAACCAAGGCTGAAGGTGTAACCCTGTGACGACCGCTGCGTAGCCTGGTCGTCAGCCCAAGAAGCGTCTGCGTGCCCAGTGAGGACCACTGGACTGCGCCCTCCAAGCACTAGCCCCATGCCCGACGTACTGCACAAGTAGCGCAACACCCTCTTCGCTGCAGCCATGTGCTCTGGTCGGTGTCTCCCAGGAGCAACATAGCGTGCGAGAATGCTAAGAGGGTATGCAAGGTCAGGTCGTGTGCAGGTCATCAGGTACATGAGGCAGCCAACAAGCTCTGGGTACGGGCCACTCGACTCTACGGACTCATCCGAAGGCAGAGCTGAGAGCGAGTGGCGAGTAGGCAGAGGAGTGGCCTGAGGCGAGGAGTACGTGAAGCCGAAGCGCTGAAGGACCTGCTGCACCATGTGTGACTGAGTCAGGGTAATGGTGCGGCGTGCTCTGTCCCGGGTGATCTGCAAGCCAAGGTAGCTACGCAGTTCACCCAGGTCAGTGCACGTGTGTCTCTTCTGCAGCTCGGACTTCACGTGGGCGAGTCCAGCAGTGTCAGCTGTGGCAAAGACCAAGTCGTCGACGTACACGAGGATGTAGAACGGCGGCAGCGAGGTGTCGGTGCGCAGAAACAGCGACGGGTCGGCAGTAGAAGGAGCAAACCCAAGTGCCGCGAGCGTAGTCCTCAGTGTGTCGTGCCACTCACGTGGCGCCTGGCGGAGACCGTAGACTGGACGCCGGAGACTCCACTGGGTACCAGGAGGGAAAGACCCAGTGAAGCTAGGTGGGCGACGCAGCCAGATCTCCTCGTGCAGGCTGCCCTGCAAGAAAGCGGTGCTGAAGTCGAGAGAGTGGAGCTCGTAGTCACGGTGAGCAGCAACGTGCAGTAGAACCCGAAGAGTGGTCATCTTCGGGGTAGGGGAGAAGGTCTGAAAGTAGTCAACCCCCTGCCGCTGACTGAAGCCACGAGCCACGTAACGCGCCTTGGAGACAGGCGGAGAACCCGGCGGCCGCTTCACCCTGAAAATCCACATGCCACTGACTATGTTCGCCCCAGGAGGGGGAACAACGTCAACGTAGGTGCCTGTGGACTTCCAGGAAGCCATCTCTGCATCCATAGCTGCCTGCCACTGAGAGGAGTAGGGACCCTCTATCGCCTCCGCGTAAGAGCGCGGAGTCGGGATGTCTGGTGCATCCGGGTCTCCCTCAGGGGCTAGCAGTACAGACGCGAGATGAGGTGAAGCGGCGGCCAGACACTGGAACTCCTCCTGCCTGTCCTCAAGGACGTCCGTGCCAAGGGCACACTCACCCCCGACGGACGGAGGACAGGCAGACTCAGACTCAGCGACAAGACTGGCAGCGTAGTCTAGACGACAGCGCGCAGCAAAGTCGACAAGCTTAGTGACAAGGGCAGACGCAGCAGACGACTCGAAGGAAGGGTCAGTGACAGCAGTAGCAAGGAGACGCGTGACAGTAGGACTGGCAGCACGAAGAGAGTCCGACTCCGGGTCGGCAAGAGCAGGAAGAGAGAAAGCAGGAGGAGAAGGCAAAGGGGCACGCAGAGGAGCAGTAGACGGACGCAGAGACATCCGGTGCGTGCCAGGGACAGGAGGAGGACACTGACGCGAACCGCGACCACTAGCGCGCGCAGTACGAACAGGCGACGCAGGACGAGACGCAGGCTCACGACGCTCAGTAAGACCTCCAGTCGGACCAGCGTAGGGAGAAGGAGCAGGCAAAGGGGAGGCAGGCTGTAGCGGTGGCTGTGACTGGACAGGCGGCGGACCCTCTAAGGGAGGAGAAGGAGGACCAGGAGAAGGTGTAAGACCAAGAACCTGCAGCAGGAGCGGAACGAAGTACGGTCGGGGCCGCGCGGCGACGCCAGAAACAGCAGGGACAGGACTAGTACCCCCAGCAGGAGTACCCGCTCCAGCAGCACCTCCAGCAGCACCTCCAGAACCTCCAGCAGCACCACCACGAGCACTGCCAGGCGAACCGCCAGCGGCAGTCCCAGTGCCAACACCCTCAGCAGCACCAGCTCCAGGAGAAACCTCAGACCCAGCAGCTCCAGTACTCCCAAGACGAGCACCTCCGGGACCCGCGGCAGTGGCACCCTCTGCAGGCGAAGAAACTCCAGCACCAGCAGCACGCCTCCAGCGCCTAGCAAACCACTCACGCAGCTCCTGTGGGGAGAGTGGCTCACGGCGAGACGAAGCACCCTCTGGCACAGCACCCCCAGGCACAGCACCCCCAGGCTCAGCACCTCCAGGCTCAGCACCCCCAGGCTCACCACCCCCAGACTCCGCACCCCCAGACTCCGCACCCCCAGGCTCAGCACCCCCAGGATCAGCACCCCCAGGCTCAGCACCCCTAGACTCCGCACCCCCAGCAGCACCAGAGTCACCAGTGACCTCGACAGGCTCGACCGCGTCTACCTGGGACACACCTGAAGGGGCAGGACCCTGAGGGGGGAGGGGGTCTACCGGGTGGGGACCTGGTACCAAGAAGAGCGGGGGCGGGGGGAGGGAAGGAGTGCGGTAGGGGAAGAGGCGGTAGTAGGGTACCGACTCGTCGAACGTGACGTCCTGGGAGGACAGAACACGTCGAGAGGTGGGGTGGTAGAACTGCCACCCAGGGGCGTCGGGGGGGAACCCCAGGAAGACGCAGGGAGAAGCGCGAGGGGACAGCTTTTCTGCAGACAGGTCGCGGACAAACGCCCGAGATCCCCAGACCCGGAACGCCGACGCATCGCCAACCTTCCCCGTCCACAGCAGGGCTGGGGAGGTCTCAGGCCTGGAGACCCTAGGGTGGAGGTTGATCTGATGCGCTGCGTACCTGACCGCAAACGGCCACAGAAAATGGGGGGCAGCCGCATGCATCATGGACGTACGGGCGACGTCCATGACCATGCCAATGCGGCGCTCAGCAATCCCATTTTGCTGCGGAGAGTCCAGAAGCGTGAAGGACTGGCGGATGCCTCGCGCACGACAGTAGGTACGTAGAAGGGCAGAGGAGAACTCTCCGCCTCTGTCCGAGTGCAGACGCAACACAGGAAAGTCGGAGCCAAAGCTCTGCCTGAGCTGAAGACGAGCTGCGCGGATCCAGTCGATCAGCACCTCAGTGACCTCACCCTTGCTGCGCAAAGGGAAGATTGTGGTGTAACGCGAGTAGTCCTCAACAACAAGCAGGAAGTAGCGCTCCTGACCCTGTCCAAGGACGCGGGCTGGGCCCCACACGTCCATGTGAAGCGTCTGCAACGGGGCCTCTGTCGGAGGAAACTGGGAGGAGTGAGGGGCAGCACGCTGGCGCCCCTCGACACAGGGGACACAGGCAGGGCCAGGGCCCTGAGGAAGGGGAGGGAGGGACCGGGGGAGACCAGACACAAGAAGACGGGAGGCCATGCCTCGGAGCCGAAGCAGAGAGGGGTGGCCAAGGCGGTGGTGCCAGAGGAGGGTCTCGTGAGACAGACGACGACACGAACAGGGGGCAGACTCAGGGCCAGACCTGGACGCTGCAGCAAACCTTCTGACCAGACGAAGGGACCCTACCAGACTCAGTACCTGGAGGAGAAGCAGTGGTCAGTGTGTACAGGCTCGACCCCGGCCGACGTGTAAACGTAGCCAGGTGGCGACCTGTGCTAGCCTCCGTGCAGTGTGTCACCCGCTGACGAGCAGGAGTGAACTGGTGGACACCCACATCCTGTAGGTCAGCACCACTCACCAGGTTCGTCGAGAACGAGGGGAGGTACAGACCAGACAGGGTGCCAGAGGGGGCCGCCAGACACGGAAGGACCGTGGAGAAACGAGACAGGACAGGCCCCCCAGAGGGGTCAGCCAGGGACACCGCAACCGGCCGACTCAGCGGCGTGAGAGTGGTGCGGTCCCGAAAGAAGGAGCGAGACGCTCCAGAGTCAAGGGTGAAGGTGTGAGAGGCCGAAGCCGACACAGTACCTGAGAGGGCAGACTCACCAGTACCTGAGAGCACAGACGCACTGGCACCTAGAGCAGCAGCCTCACGAGTACCTGACGCAGCAGTACCAATGCCCGGGTCGGGCGGGAAACTTCGGTAACAGTCATCCTCATCACTACCAGTCACAACATACATAGCAGAAAGAATAGCATCAAAGTCAAGATCATAAATAGCTACACCAACCCTAGACAGCTCCCCCCAGCGGGGGATCTCAGCGGCCTCCGGAAACTGCTGACGCCAGGCGTCGGTCAGGCGGCCAAAGCAGCGGCGGGCTGTGTGGGTGCCTCCACACCTCTCCCCCGCACGGTCGCCGGTGCGAAGAACGTAGGGGCAGGGACCAAACGCACCACCACGCTGACGCTGCAAGTACCACTCACGGAGCTGCTGAGGGGCGGGGACGGTGCGAGAGCGCTGCTGCTGCTGTGGGTGCTGCTGCTGCTGCTGCTGCTGGCGCTGACAACCCCTAGAGCTGCTCCGCTGAGACGAGCCACCCCGACCCCCGCCGCCACCGCCACCCCCGCCTCCACTGCCACCCCCGTCTCCATCGCCACCGCCCCCACCGGCACCCTCACCCCCGCCTCCTCCGCTACCTCCTCCGCCGCCACCTCCGCCTCCACCGCCTCCACTAGTACCTCCACTCCCGCCACCACCTCCACCGCCACCCCCACTCCCCCTGCCACCCCCACCTCCCCCGCCACCGCCCCCTCTAGCTCCACCCGCTCCCTTGCCCCCTTTGCCCTTGCCATTGCGGCGTCTACCGCTGGGGGCAGACGCCGCACCGACCGACTCAAAACCAGCGAGGTCGGCCGCAGCGGCAGAGGCGACAGAGGGCAGCAGGGGGGAAGGAGAACACCCCTCAAAAATGGGGGTGCGAGGGTCACCCCGAGAGGCCCCTACAGCGACGATGCTCTTCTCAGCCGCTAGCAGGGACTCCTCAAGGAGGTCGACAGTGAGGGTGGTGGGACAGACAGAGAGAAACTGGTCCCTAACTACACGAAGGGACTCAGGGAGACGAGTGACGAGAAAGTAGAGAGTGATGTACATGGGAAGAGGGTTTGCGGCGCGGAACTCAGCAGGAAGGGCACCGCGGTAGCGAGCGTCACTAGCGCGGAGGTGGGTAACGAGGTCAGCAACAGTGGGAAAGGCAGCGAGGTCAGGGAAGAGAAACGGTAGCATGAGGCGGCTAAGTGTAGCGGAGGAAGGGGAGGAGTAGCGTGCAACTACAGCGTCGTACAAGGCCTGAGCGGTCTTGCACTGACTAAAGTGGGCACGCTCGGAGGAAGGGAGGTGGCGACGCACAGCAAGACGTGCAGCAGCATCGCGGGTTGCCCACTTGGAGCGAACGGCGGGGTCAGCATCAGCAGGAGGGGCAGGGACAGCGCCAGAGACAAAGTCAAAGAGAGAGACCTCATCTATCGCATCACACAGTAAGTACAGCTGCAGGTCTTCAATCCAGACTGCAAAGTCAATGGCTCTACCCTCAGCGTCAAAAGCTAGGACAGTGGGGGTGGCCATGACAGCAGCTGACAGTCTCACCGGGCAGGAAAAATCGGGTAGGTCAGCGGCACTGTAACACAGCCCAAGAGCAGCAGTGGCCCCACAGGAGCAGGAGTGCGGCTCCACTGGTGGCTCGGGCGGCTCGGGCGGCTCGGGCGGCTCGGGCGGCTCAGGCGGCTCGCGCGGCTCGGGTGACGCAGGGGCTCACGGGCGGCGCGGGCGGCTGCACGGGCGGCTCACGGGCGGCACGGTGGGCGGCTGCACGGGCGGCTGCACGGTGGCGCGGCGGGCTGCAGCACGGGCGGCGGGGCCGACGGCGGGCCTGTAGCGGGCCTGTAGCGGGGCTGTAGCGGGGCCGAAGGCGGGCCGACGGTGGGCTGTAGCGGGGCCGGCGGCGGGCTGTAGCGGGGCCGACGGCGGGCTGTAGCGGGACCGGCGGCGGGCTGGGGCGGGGCCGACAGCGGGCTGTAGCGGGGCCGGCGGCGGGCTGTAGCGGGGCCGACGGCGGGCTGTAGCGGGGCCGACGGCGGGCTATAGCGGGGCCGACGGCGGGCTGGAGCGGGGCCTACGGCGAGCCGACGGGGTCTAGGCGGGGCCAACGAGGGGCCGTAGCGGGGCCTAGGCGGGCCGACGGGGCCTAAGCGGGGCCGACGCGGGGCCGTAGCGGGGCCTAAGCGGGACCGACCAGGCCTAAGCGGGGCCGACGCGGGGCCGTAGCGGGGCCTAAGCGGGGCCGACGAGGCCTAAGCGGGGCCGACAGGGCCTAAGTGGGGCCGACTAGGGGCCTAAGTGGGGCCGACGAGGGGCCTAAGCGGGGCCGACGAGGGGCCTAAGCGGGGCCGACGAGGGGCCTAAGCGAGAGCACGGCGGTAAGGGCGACACGGAGGGTCGCTAAAAAAAAAACGCGCGCCTCGCGGCGCGCTTCGGTGGGCACTAGGAACAGTCCCTAGGAAGGGACCTGCTCTGATTCCATGAGAAGATATGAACGAGAATGAAATGACTATGAACGAAGTGAGTACAAATAGGAAACCCTAATTTGGGTTGTACCCCCTATGGGATACCCCACTATAGCCTACAGAAACAAGTAAGCTATATATTCTGACAGATCTCAGCCTCACAACTGGAGCCGAGAACAGAAGACGAGCGGGTAGCCCGCCACGAAACAGAACCGGAACCAAGGTTGAAGGTGTAACCCTGTGACGACCGCTGCGTAGCCTGGTCGTCAGCCCAAGAAGCGTCCGCGTGCCCAGTGAGGACCACTGGACTGCGCCCTCCAAGCACTAGCCCCATGCCCGACGTACTGCACAAGTAGCGCAACACCGTCTTCGCTGCAGCCATGTGCTCTGGTCTGTGTCTCCCAGGAGCAACATAGCGTGCGAGAATGCTAAGAGGGTATGCAAGGTCAGGTCGTGTGCAGGTCATCAGGTACATGAGGCAGCCAACAAGCTCTGCATACGGGCCACTCGACTCTACGGACTCATCCGAAGGCAGAGCTGAGAGCGAGTGGCGAGTAGGCAGAGGAGTGGCCTGAGGCGAGGAGTACGTGAAGCCGAAGCGCTGAAGGACCTGCTGCACCATGTGTGACTGAGTCAGGGTAATGGTGCGGCGTGCTCTGTCCCGGGTGATCTGCAAGCCAAGGTAGCTACGCAGCTCACCCAGGTCAGTGCACGTGTGTCTCTTCTGCAGCTCGGACTTCACGTAGGCGAGTCCAGCAGTGTAAGCTGTGGCAAAGACCAAGTCGTCGACGTACACGAGGATGTAGAACGGCGGCAGAGAGGTGTCGGTGCGCAGAAAAAGCGACGGGTCGGCAGTAGAAGGAGCAAACCCAAGTGCCGCCAGCGTAGTCAGTGTGTCGTGCCACTCACGTGGCGCCTGGCGGAGACCGTAGACTAGACGCCTGAGACTCCACTGGGTACGAGGAGGGAAAGACCCAGTGAAGCCAGGTGGGCAACGCAACCAGATCTCCTAGTACCCGAAGAGTGGTCATCTTCGGGGTGGGGGAGAAGGTCTGAAAGTAGTCAACTCCCTGCCGCTGACTGAAGCCACGAGCCACGTAACGCGCCTTGAAGACAGGCGGAGAACCCGGCGGCCGCTTCACCCTAAAGATCCACATGCCACTGACTATGTTCGCCCTAGGAGGGGGAACAACGTCAACGTAGGTGCCTGTGGACTTCCAGGAAGCCATCTCTGCATCCATAGCTGCCTGCCACTGAGAGGAGTAGGGACCCTCTATCGCCTCCGCGTAAGAGCGCGGAGTCGGGATGTCTAGTGCATCCGGGTCTCCCTCAGGGGCGAGCAGTACAGACGCGAGATGAGGTGAAGCGGCGGCCAGACACTGGAACTCCTCCTGCCTGTCCTCAAGGACTTTTGTGCCAAGGGCACACTCACCCCCGACGGACGGAGGACAGGTAGACTCAGACGCAGCGACAAGACTAGCAGCGTAGTCTAGACGACAGCGCGCAGCAAAGTCGACGAGCTCAGTGACAAGGGCAGACGCAGCAGAAGACTCGAAAGAAGGGTCAGTGACGGCAGTAGCAAGGAGACGCGTGACAGTAGGACTGGCAGCACGAAGAGAGTCCGACTCCGGGTCGGCAAGAGCAGGAAGAGAGGAAGAAGGAGGAGAAGGCAAAGGGGCACGCAGAGGAGCAGTAGACGGACGCAGAGACATCCGGTGCGTGCCAGGGATAGGAGGAGGACGCTGACAGGAACTGCGACCACTAGTGCGCGCAGTACGAACAGGCGACGCAGGACGAGACGCAGGCTCACGACGCTCAGTAAGACCTCCAGTCGGACCAGCGTAGGGAGAAGGAGCAGGTAAAGGGGAGGGAGGCTATAGCTGTGACTGTGACTGGACAGGCTGTGGACCCTCTAAGGGAGGAGGAGGAGGAGGACCAGGAGAAGGTGTAAGACCAAGAACCTGCCGTAGGAGTGGAACGAAGTACAGTCGGGGCCGCGTGGCGACGCCAGAAACAGCAGGGACAGCACCAGTACCCCCAGCAGGAATACCCGCTCCAGCAGCACCTCCAATAGCTCCAGAACCCCCAGCAGCACCCCCAGCAGCCCCAGAACCTCCAGCAGCACCAGGAGCACTGCCAGTCGGACCGCCAGCGGTAGTCTCAGCGCCAACACGCTTAGCAGCACCAGCTCCAGGAGAACCCGCAGGCCCAGCAGCTCCAGTAGTCCCAGTACGAGTACCTCCGGGACGCGCAGCAGCAGCACCCTCAGCAGCCAAAGAACCTCCAGCACCAGCAGCACGCCTCCAGCGCCGGGCAAACCACTCATGCAGCTCCTGTGGGGAGAGTGGCTCTCGGCGAGACGAAGCACCCGGAGAACCTCCAGGTGAAGAACCTCCAGTCTCAGCACCCCCAGGCTCAGCACCCCCAAGCGCAGCACCTCCAGTCTCAGCACCCCCAGTCTCAGCACCCCCAGTCTCAGCACCCCCAGGCTCAGCACCCGCAGGCTCAGCACCCTCAGGCTCAGCACCCCCAGACTCCGCACCCCCAAGCTCCGCACCCCCAGGCTCAGCACCCCCAGGCACAGCACCCCCAGTCACAGCACCCCTAGGCTCAGCACCCATAGCAGCACCAGAGTCACCAGTGACCTCGACAGGTTCGACCGCGTCTACCTGGGACACACCTGAAGGGGCAGGACCCTGAGGGGGTAGGGGGTCTACCGGGGGGGGACCTGGTACCAAGAAGAGCGGGGGTGGGGGGAGGGACGGAGTGCGGTAGGGGAAGAGGCGGTAGTAGGGTACCGACTCGTCAAACGTGACGTCCTGGGAGGAGAGAACACGGCGAGAGGTGGGGTGGTAGAACTGCCACCCTGGGGCGTCGGGGGGGAACCCCAGGAAGACGCAGGGAGCAGCGCGAGGGGACAGCTTGTCCGCAGACAAGTCGCGGACAAACGCCCGAGATCCCCAGACCCGGAACGCCGACGCATCGCCAACCTTCCCTGTCCACAACAGGGCTGGGGAGATCTCCGGCCTGGAGACCCTGGGGTGGAGGTTGATCTGATGCGCCGCGTACCTGACCGCAAACGACCACAGAAAATGGGGGGCAGCCGCATGCATCATAGACGTACGTGCGATGTCCATGACCATGCCAATGCGGCGCTCTGCAATCCCATTTTGCTGCGGTGAGTCCGGAAGCGTGAAGGTCTGACGGATGCGTCGCGCACGACAGTAGGCACGCAGAAGGCCAGAGGAGAACTCTCCGCCTCTGTCAGAGTGCAGACGCAGCACAGGAAAGTCCGAGCCAAAGCTCTACCTGAGCTGGAGACGAGCTGCGCGGATCCAGTCGATCAGCACCTCAATGACATCACCCTTGCTGCGCAAGGGGAAGACTGTGGTGTAACGCGAGTAGTCGTCAACCACCAACAGGAAGTAGCGCTCGTGACCGAGTCCACGGACGCGGGCAGGGCCCCACTCGTCCATGTGAAGCGTCTGCAACGGAGCCTCTGTCGGAGGAAACTGGGAGGAGTGAGGGGCAGCACGCTGGCGCCCCTCGACACAGGGGACACAGGCAGGGCCAGGGCCCTGAGGAAGGGGAGGGAGGGACCGGGGGAGACCAGACACAAGAAGACGGGAGGCCATGCCTCAGAGCCGAAGCAGAGAGGGGTGACCCAGGCGGTGGTGCCAGAGGAGAGTCTCGTGAGACAGGCGACGACACGAACAAGGGGCAGACTCAGGACCAGACCTGGACGCCGTAGCAAACACCTGACCTGACAAAGGGACCCTACCATACTCAGGAACTGGAGGAGAAGTAGTGGTCAGTGTGTACAGGCTCGACCCTGGCTGACGTGTAAACGTAGCCAGGTGACGACCTGTGTTAGCCTCTGTGCAGTGCGTCACCCGCTGAGAAGTAGGGGTGAACTGGTGGACTCCCGCATCCTGTAGGTCAGCACCACTCACCAAGTTTGTAGAGAACGAGGGGAGGTAGAGACCAGACAGGGTGCCAGAGGGAGCCGCCGGACACGGGAGGACTGTGGAGAAGCGAGACAGGACAGGACCCCCAGAGGGGTCAGCCAGGGACACCGCAACCGGCCGACTAAGCGGCGTGAGTGTGGTGCGGTCCCGAAAGAAGGAGCGAGACGCTCCAGAGTCAAGTGTGAAGGTGTGGGAGGCCGAGGCCGACGCAGTACCTGAGAGCGCAGACTCACTAGTACCTGAGAGAGCAGCCTCACCAGTACCTGAGAGCACAGACGCACTGGCACCTAGAGAAGAAGCCTCACTGACACCTAGAGCAGCAGTACCAATGCCCGGGTCGGGCGGGAAACACCGGTAACAGTCACCCTCATCACTAATGGTCACAGCATCATGGCAGCAAGGATAGCATCAAAGTCAAGATCAAAGATAGCTACACCAGCCCTAGACAGCTCTCCCCAGCGGGGGATCTCCGCGGCCTCCGGGAACTGCTGGCGCCAAGCGTTCGTCAGGCGGCCAAAGCAGCGCTGGGCGGTGTGGGTACCCCCACACTGCTCTCCAGCACGGTCGCCAGTGCGAAGGACGTAGGTGCAGGGACCAAAACCCCCACCACGCTGACGCTGCGTGTACCACTCACGGAGCTGCTGAGGCGTCGGGAGGTCGCGAGAACGCTGCTGCTGCTGCTGGCGCTGACCACCCCTAGTGCTGCTCCGCTGCGAAGCGCCACTCTGACCACCTCCACCACCGCCACCGCCACCGCCACCGCCACCCCGCCTCCGCCTCCACCGCCGCCGCCTCCGCCACCTCCGCTCCCACCGCCACCGCCGCCGCCACCCCCGCCTCCACTGCCGCCACTAGCACCCCCACCCCCGCCACCACCTCCACCGCCACCCCCACTCCCTCCGCCGCCTCCACCGCCACCTCCACCGCCCCCGCTGGCCCCACCCGCTCCCTTGCCCCCCTTGCCCTTGCCAGAGCGGCGTCTCCCGCTAGGGGCAGACGCCGCACCGACCGACTCAAGACCAACGAGGTCGGCCGCAGCGGTAGAGGCGACAGAGGGCAGGAGAGGGGAAGGAGAACACCCCTCAAAGATGGGGGCGCGGGGGTCACCTCGAGAGGCTCCTACAGCGACTATGCTCTTCTCCGCCGCTAGGAGGGCCTTCTCGAGGCTGTCGACTCTGAGGGTGGTGGGACAGACCCCGAGGAAGTGGTCCCGAACTACACGAAGGGAGTCAGGGAGGCGAGTGACTAAAAAGTAGAGAGTGATGTACATGGGGGGGGGGGTTCTTGGCGCAGAAGTCAGCAGGAAGCGCAGCGCGGTAGCGAGTGTCACTAGTGCGGAGGTGCGTAATGAGGTCAGCGATAGTGGGAAAGGCGGCAAGGTCAGGAAAGAGGAAGGGGAGCATGAGGCGGCTCAGTGCAGCTGTGGCAGGGGAGGAGTAGCGCGCAACTACAGCTTCGTACAAGGTCTGGGCACTCTTGTACTGGCTAAAGTGCGCGCGCTCAGCGGTAGGCAGGTGGCGACGCACAGCAAGACGTGCAGCAGCATCGCGCGTGGCCCACTGTGAGCGAACAGTGGCGTCAGCATCAGCAGCAGGGGCAGGGACGGCGCGAGAGGTGAGGTCAAAGAGAGAAAGACCGTCTGCCCTATCACACTGTAAGAACAGCTGCAGGTCGTCGAGCCAGACCTCAAAGTCAATGGCACGACCCTCAGCGTCAAAAGCTAGGACACTAGGGGTAGCCATGACGACAGACTAGCAGTGCAAGCAGTGCGGGAAGGGGCACGCAGTAGCAGTGGAGCTGTGCTCACCAGACAGGACGGGCAGCTCAGCAGCACAGGAACACGGCAACACAGCAGCTCTGCCGGCCCAGCAGCAACAGCAGCCCCAGGACCAGCAGCTCGGCTCCCCAGGCGGCTCGGGCGGGTCGGGCGGCTCGGGCGGCTCGGGCGGCTCGGGCGCTCGGCGGTACAGGCTGCTCGGGCGGCTCGGGCGGCAAAGGTGTCTCGGGCGGCTCGGCTCCTCCGCTGCGTAGGCGGCTCGGGCGGCTCGGGTGACGCGGGTGGCACGGGCGGCTCGGGCGTCGAAGGGCCGGGACAGCGTGGCTCGAGGGCGGCTGGGAGCGGGACCGGGGTGGGCGGCTCACGGGTGGCTCGGGGCCGGGACGGGCGGCTGACGGGCGGCGCACAGGCGGCTCACGGGCGGTTCGCGGGTGGCTCGGGGCCGGGACGGGCGGCTCACGAGCGGCTCATGGGCGGCTCACGGGCGGCTGACGGGTGGCTCACGGGCGGCTCACGGGCGGCTCACGGGCGGCTCACGGGCGGCGCTTTGGGCGGCTACAGGCGGCGCACGGGCGGCTCACAGGCGGCTCACGGGCGGCGCTTGGGGCGGCTAAGGGCGGCGCACGGGCGGCACGTGGGCGGTTAAAGGCGGCGCGCGGGCGGAGCGTGGGCTTCCTGAGGCCTTGCGGGCGGCGCGCGGGCGGCTTAGGGCGGCTAAGGGCGGCGCGCGGACGGTGCGTGGGCGGCCTGGGGCCTGGCGAGCGGCGCGCGGGCTGCTTAGGGCGGCGCGCGGGCTGCTTAGGGCGGCGCGCGGGCTGCTAAGGGCGGCGCGCGGGCTGCTAGGGGCGGCGCGCGGGCTGCACGGGGCCTGGACGGGCGGCGCGCTAGCGTCTAGGGCGGCGCGCTGGCGGCGTGAGGCCTGAACGGGCGGCGCGCGGGCGGCTAAGGGCCGGTCGACAGAGGTAAGAGAGAGCCCGGAGCGCGCTCCGGGCAGAAAAAAAGTTCGAAGTAGTGGTGGGCCCTAAGCACAGTTCCCACAGGGGAACCTGCTCGATACCATGAGAAGAATAGAACGAGAATGAAATGACTATGAACGAAGTAAGGACAAATAGGAAACCCTAATTGGGTTGTACCCCCTATGGGATACCACACTATAGCCTACACAAATAAGTAAGCTACAATGTTCTGACAAGGTGTTCCGTCTACCAGCCGCGCGTCAATCTCGGGTAGACACCTGTCCAGTTTGACTCCAATTTTTTTGGCCGTTGCCAGGTTGACGAGACTGTGGCTCGCCCCACCGTCAACGAATAATTTTATATTATGCCCGTTAACCCTCCCCACGACCAACACAGGGTGATCCACGTGTTCATCCACCTTATTCGTCCGGTTGTGGTCGATAGCCCGTATCGGTGTCTGAATATATTTGTAACTGCCTGTAGCTATAGATAGTGTAGTTATTATAAACTTTGTTTGGTGGTGCACCTTCTTTATTTCTTTGCTATATGTTGTTGCCAACCTATAGTGAAACACCTCATTTCCCCTTCTCAACTTTCTCGACACTTCACTTCAACCCTAAACCTTAGCTTCTAAGAACTCACTAGCAATGGCTCCTAAGCCCTCTAAACACTAGTATCTTAACATGGTATTCAGAGCAGGTACGTTCCTGCTGCCTTCCTGCTTCCGCTGCCTATCGTCTTGCCGTGCGCCTCGGGCGCGCGGCGTATGCACGGCGATTTTCTGCCCGCCGTGCGCCCTGGGCGCGCGGCGTCTTCCTGCCCCGCGCGTGGCCTGCTCTCACGCCGCCTGCGCGCCTGCCTCACGTCCACGGGCGGGCCTGTTTTGCCCGCCCGTACCTTCCACTTTGCGGCGCCCTGCGAGGCGCCGCTCCTGCTCGTCGCGACGCACCTGCGAGACCCGGGCGTCGCCACTCCTGCTCGTCGCGACGCCCCTGCAGGACCCGCAAGGCGTCGCCTTGCTCGTCGGGACGCCACTGCGGGACCCGCGGGGCGTCGCCACTGCTCGTCGCGGCGCCCCCTGGACGCCGCCCCTACTCGACGCGGCGCCCCTGGGGCGTCGCCCGTGCTCGTAGCGGCACTCCTTGGGCGCCGTCCCTGCTTGTCGCGGCGCCCTCCCCCCTGGCCACCGCCTCTGCCTCACCTGCGCCCGCGCCAGCGTTGCAGCCGAGCGCGGGCCTACCTTGCACCAGCGCCGCCCCTGGACCTCAGCAGCAGCGCCTGGAGCAGCCGCCCCAGCAGCAGCAGCCTCTGGAGCCGCCGCCCAAACAGCAGTAGCCTCTGGAGCTGCCGCCACTGCAGCGGCCGCCCCAGCAGCAGCAGCGTCTGGAGCAGCCGCCCCATCAGTAGCAGCGCTTGGAGCAGCCGCCTCAGCAGCAGTTGCCTCTGGAGCCGCCGCCCCAGCAGCAGCAGCGCCTGGAGCAGCCGCCCCAGGCGCAGCAGCCCCTGGAGCCGCCGCCCAAACAGCAGCAGCCTCTAGAGCTGCCGCCACTGCAGCGGCCGCCCCAGCAGCAGCAGCGTTTGGAGCAGCCGCCCCAGCAGCAGCAGCGCCTGGAGCAGCCGCCCCAGCAGCAGCCCACGGCGCCGACCCCACAGTTGTATGCGCCGCCGCTCCTGGACTCGGTATGGCTGCCCGTGCCTGTGCTGCCTGCTGCTGTCTGTGCCTGTGCTGCCTGTTGCTGCCTGTGCTTGTGCTGCCTGTTGCTGCCCGTGCCTGTGCTGCCCGTTGCTGCCCGTTGCTGCCCGTGCCTGTACTGCCTGTTGCCGCCCGTTGCTGCGTGTGCCTGTGCTGCCCGTTGCTGCCTGTGCCTGTGCTGCCTGTTGCCGCCCGTTGCTGCCCGTGCCTGTGCCGCCCGTTGCCGCCCGTTGCTGCCCGTGCCTGTGCTGCCCGTTGCCGCCCGTTGCTGCCCGTGCCTGTGCTGCCTGTTGCCGCCCGTTACTGCCCGTGCCTGTACCGCCTGTTGCTGCCTGTACTTGTGCTGCCTGTTGCTGCCCGTGCCTGTGCTGCCTGTTGCCGCCCGTTGCTGCCTGTGCCTGTGCTGCCCGTTGCTGCCTGCTGCTGCCCGTGCCTGTGCTGCTTGTTGCCGCTCGTTGCTGCCCGAGCCTGTGCTGCCTGTTGTTGCTCGTGCCTGTGCTGCCTGTTGCCGCCCGTTGCTGCCCGTGCCTGTGCTGCCTGTTGCTGCCCGTGCCTGTGCTGCCCGTTGCCGCCCGTTGCTGTCCGTGCCTGTGCTGCCCGTTGCTGCCCGTGCCTGTGCTGCCTGTTGCCGCCCGTTGCTGCCCGTGCCTGTGCTGCCTGTTGCCGCCCGTTGCTGCCCGTGCCTGTGCCGCCCGTTGCCGCCCGTTGCTGCCCGTGCCTGTGCTGCCCGTTGCCGCCCGCTGCTGCCCGTGCCTGTGCTGCCCGTTGCTGCCAGTGCCTGTGCTGCCTGTTGCCGCCCGTTGCTGCCCGTGCCTGTGCTGCCTGTTGCCGCCCGTTGCTGCCCGTGCCTGTGCTGCCCGTTGCTGCCTGCTGCTGCCCGTGCCTGTGCTGCTTGTTGCCGCTCGTTGCTGCCCGAGCCTGTGCTGCCTGTTGTTGCCCGTGCCTGTGCTGCCTGTTGCCGCCCGTTGCTGCCCGTGCCTGTGCTGCCCGTGCCTGTGCTGCCCGTTGCCGCCCGTTGCTGTCCGTGCCTGTGCTGCCCGTTGCTGCCCGTGCCTGTGCTGCCTGTTGCCGCTCGTTGCTGCCCGTGCCTGTGCTGCCTGTTGCCGCCCGTTGCTGCCCGTGCCTGTGCCGCCCGTTGCCGCCCGTTGCTGCCCGTGCCTGTGCTGCCCGTTGCCGCCCGCTGCTGCCCGTGCCTGTGCTGCCCGTTGCTGCCAGTGCCTGTGCTGCCTGTTGCCGCCCGTTGCTGCCCGTGCCTGTGCTGCCTGTTGCCGCCCGTTGCTGCCCGTGCCTGTGCCGCCCGTTGCCGCCCGTTGCTGCCCGTGCCTGCGCTGCCCGTTGCCGCCCGTTGCTGCCCGTGCCTGTGCTGCCTGTTGCCGCCCGTTGTTGATCGTGCCTTTGCTGCCTGTTGCCGCCCTGCTTCTGCCTGCGCCTTCGTGCGCTCTGCTGCTGCCCGCGCCCTCGTGCGCCCTGCTGCTGCCCGCGCCCTTGTGCGCTCTGCTCTGCCTGCGCCCTCGTGCGCTCTGCTGCTGCCCGCGCCCTCGTGCGCCCTGCTGCTACCCGCGCCCTTGTGCGCTCTGCTCTGCCTGCGCCCTCGTGCGCTCTGCTGCTGCCCGCGCCTTCGTGCGCCTTGCTGCTGTTTGCGCCCTTGTGCGCTCTGTTCTGCTCTGTCGCCCCTGCCCCCCCCCCCCCCCCCCCCCCCCCCCTTCTTCGTCTCCTTGCTGCGCGTGCAGCCGTGGAACGGAGGCTATGGGGTGGCGGGTATGGGGGTGATGGGTGTGTGTGATCCCCTTCCCCTCCTCCTCCTTTCTCTCCCACTGCTGCAGCTGCTGCTGGGGGGGGTGGGTGTGAGGGTGTGGGGGAGCTGGGGGAGAGGTGCTAGGGTTGTCAAGGAGTGTGGAAGGGGGAGTTGGAGGACTGAAGAAGGTTCCAGGAAGCAGCCGCCTTGGAGCCAGCAGCTTCACCTGCCAGCAGCCTCTCCTCATATAGTCCCTCCTCCTCACTTGCCCTCTCCTTCTACTGCGCATGGTGTACCCCTTCAGGGGGTGTCTCTGCATTAGCTTCTGCTGCAGGCAGTTATGGGGGAGTGTCAGAATATATTTGTAACTGCCTGTAGCTATCGTTAGTGTAGTTATTATAAACTTTGTTTGGTGGTGCACCTTCTTTGTTTCTTTGCTATATGTTGTTGCCAACCTATAGTGAAACACCTCATTTCCCCTTCTCAACTTTCTCGACACTTCACTTCAACCCTAAACCTTAGCTTCTAAGAACTCACTAGCAATGGCTCCTAAGCCCTCTAAACACTAGTATCTTAACAATCGGTACCACTACTCGGTGTGGATGTTGATTGCCGGGCGACGGGGTCTCGTCAGTAGGTGGCCCGACTGCTACTGACTCGTCTCTTTTCCCGACCCCTCTCCGTCGTTCCTGTTTCCCTGTTTCAGCTTCGGGCAGTCCTTCTTCCAGTGGCCCGGTTGGTTGCAGTTGAAGCACGTGTTGGGTCCACGCCTCGGTGCATCCACCCCGTTGATTGTGGGCTGGCGCGGCGGTCCACGAAATTGAGTGCCCTCCCGGGAACTCATTCTCGCCCATTGCATCAGCGCATCCGTCGATTCAGCCACCTGGACGGCTTCGAGAAACACGCGTGGCCTCGCCCGTCGCACCTCGTACTGTACGTCGTACTTGAGGCCTGCGACATAGCGGTCGAGTCGTTCCGCGTCACTCATATCGTCCACTTGGTCAGCCAAATTGCAGAATGTCGCCGTGTAATCTTGGACCGACGCCACCTGCTTCCAGGTACGCAGCTTCATGCGAGCAGAATCAGAGGCGGATACATGCTCGAATCTGTTTCGCAGCGCGGCGCCCCACTCCGTCCATGTGCGTATCGTGGCCACTCCGAAGATTGAAGTTGCCTGTTGCGTGAAAGCTGCCCAGGTCCCGTCGTTCGCACGTGATGTCCCTGCCGGAGCCCCCTCTGGCTGAAGAGACCGCTTCCACCACTCCAACGCCGGTCCTCGCAATAGTGACACTGCAAAATTAATGCGGGTAGCATCGTCAGCAATTTGTGCAGCATTGAAAAACACCTCTACACCGAACAACCAAGCCGACACAGTGTCGGTTTTGTCGCTGGGGTTGAACGGGGGCGGGTTCGTCGGTTTTATTTTAACAGTTGTTGAGACTGTTGCTGCTGCATGCATCAGGGGCGCCACTGGAGCCATCACCGGGGTTGTCGCTATTGCCTGTCGTGGCGTAGTCTGCGACTGTTGCCTCGGTTGTGACTGTTGTTCCTGCGTCCCTTGTGCCCGTTGCGTCCGTGATGTCCGCTCGTCTTCAGCGTCTAGCGAGTTCTGTAGCTCGCTGAGGACCTCGTCGTTAGGCGCGAAACTGCTACCTGCTTCATCCACGGCGGGCGACTCCTGACGCGCTTCACCTCGCGTCTGGCGTAGCTCGGCGTTTTCCTCCCTCAGGCGCTCCAACTCGCCAGACATAGTCTGCATGTTGGCCTGCATCGCCCTAAACTGTTGCATGAGCTCGTTGAACTCCGCCTGGTCCATGTGTCGCAGGCTTCGTCTAACTCGCAGGGGGTTAGCAGCGATTTTTATGGTTTTGATGAAGGCGCAAACGCTATTAGTCGGGGCGAGATAATCGTGTCTATCTCTCAGCCGACCGCTTTGCAGCCCACCAAACCTATTGCACCCCTGTACTAAACTACCCCGGAAAGTGGAGGGTAACCTAGGAAAGTAGCTCTGATACCAGGTGTTATGAGTTGTATGAAAGAAGAGTGCGCAGAATGCAATATCGCGGAAGTGATTACAACTACTGAGCAAACAACGGGGCCTAGGCATAATATAGCAAAGCTAGCTAAGCCGAGGTCGCGGAGTCGTGCGAAGGTTGTGTGTAGGTTTGGGTTTGGAAAACCCGAAGGCGACGCGGAAGACGTTCGGGAGGCGAGGTCGTCGGACCGAGCCTGAACTCCGAAAATTGGAAATGTACGCGTAAGCGGTGCCTCAGTAAGGAATTAGCAAAATTCCTTACACTAACGGTGGGCCAAGGGAACCAAAACGCTCGCGAAATCATTTATCTTTCGGAATTCTTGTTGGCAAAAACGATCGACCATCTAACGGGGAAAACTTCTCAAGATTCGTGAAAACTGAAGCTACCTGAAACATTCATGGAATGGGCCCTCTGGTTTCATTTCCTGGGAACACCGAGTACTTCGTACATATAAAGCAGACCATGTAAAGCAGCCACTCCAGACCCTCCCTACGTCACCCTCTGCGGGGTTCGCCAGCCATCATTGCGAAATTCGCCAGCCATGGCATCCGCCGTGCGGCTGTTGCGACATCACTCTCGCGAAGCAGACTCCGCAATTCGCCGATTAACTTGTAGCTACACGTCTACTCGCGCCTATGCCACAGGCGCCACACCCGCCTTCCCCCACACCCGCCGTCCGTTCCCCGCTCCATCAGCGATCGGCGCAACATGCCCGCTTGCACCCGCCCCGCGCGCCGATCCTCCCGCCTCTTCCGCTCAAGCTCCCCGGCGTCCGCTTCCTCCGCTTTCGTCATCTCCGCAATCCCCCCCGCATTTCCACAATTCCGCCATGTCTTCTTCCACCGCGAGCGGGGCGGAAGATCCGCGGAGAGCGCAGCTTTTGGGCAACACGCGGGGAACAGGGGGAGGTGGGGGAAACGGAAAAGGCGGAGGATCAGGGGGAGCGCGCTGGGGGAACCACCACGGAGGGGCATGGGCAGGTGCAGGGGGAGCAATTTTTGCCGGAATGGCGGCAATGGGGGTAGCTTGGGGGGAGGCGCGGAGCAGCAAAGGGGAAAGAGCAGAGGAGAATGGGAAGAGAGGGGAAGGAGGAGGAGTAGGGGAAGAGGGGGAGGAGGATGAAGGGGAGTTGGTGTCGAATTGGAGTGGTACGCATGAGGTTAGGGCCGCTGTGGTGTACCGACCAGAATCCATGCAGGTGCGTGTGTGCTTGTATTGTATGCATGCATGTACGAGTGTGTGCTGATATGCAGGGGGTGTGTATGTATGAATGAGAGTGCGTGTGTATACCAGTGGAGCGGTACGCATGAGGTTAGGGCCGCTGTGGTGTACCGACCAAGAGTCCATGCAGGTGATTTGAAAAGTGTATGTTTGATGCTGCCTCTTCCTGCCACCTCCGCCTCTTCCTCCCCCCTCCTCTGCCTCTCCTGCCCCCTCCTCTGCCTCTTCCTCCCCCCTCCTCCGCCTCTTCCTCCCCCCTCCTCTGCCTCTCCCTGCCCCCTCCGCCTCTCCCTGCAGCCAGTCTCCTCCTCCTATCTTCCTCCCTGCTCCACCCTCCTCTCCTCTGAAAATTCTCAATAGTGATTTCAACACACCTGCCCCGTTCCCTCTCGCAGGATTTGGAGCGGATCGTTCGAGCAGCCCATGCAGAGGGCCGCCGCATCCGCCCTGTGGGCAGCGCCATCTCCCCCAACGGCATTGCGCTGAGCGCCCATGGCATGGTCAATCTGGCGCTCATGGGGCGAGTGGTGTGTTTGGATAAGAGCACCGGGAACCGGAGAGCATTCAGACCAGCTGCTAAGTCCGCCCCCCCTTCTTCCTCCTTGCCCTCTCCCTGTTCTCTCTCGCAGGATTTGGAGCGGATCGTTCAATCAGCGCCATCCCCCCCCAACGGCATCGCTCTGAGCGCGCACAGCATGGTCAACCTGGCGCTCATGGGCCGAGTGGTGTGTTTGGATGGGCATAGCAGCAGCTATTGCCGTACACCCATCCCCCTTCTCCCCTGCTGCCCCCTCTCCCCCACTTCCTGACCCCCACACCTCTACTTCCCAGGACCTGGAGCGGATCGTTCAGGCAGCCCACAGGGAGGGTCGCCCCATCCGCCCTGTAGGAAGCGCCATTTCCCCCAACGGCATCGCTCTGAGAGCGCACGGCATGGTCAATCTAGCCTTGATGGACCGAGTGGTGCATGTGGATAAGAGCACCGGGAGGGTGCGCGTGCAGGCAGGGGCGCGCGTGGAGCAGGTGGTGGAAGCTTTAAGGCCGTATGGACTTACTCTGCAGAACTATGCTTCGGTGCGGGAGCAGCAGATAGGGGGGTTCATACAGGTGAGCTCACTTGGCCGTTAGTTCGTGACATGACACCTGCTCGTGAGAGCACAACCACAGCACCTCGTGACACTCCACCCGGGCGAAAACCTTGCTTCTTCATGTGTCGCTTTCTTTCCCTTTTGTTTCTTTCTTGTGCTATCGCGTGTTTCACGTCACCGGGTGGGGGCACACGGCACAGGGGCCGGCATTCCCCCGGTGGACGCTTTTGAGTCGACTCAAAAGCAGGGGCCGGCATTCCCCGAGTGGACGCTTTTTAGTCGACTCAAAAGCAGGGGCCGGCATTCCCCCGGTGGACGAGCAAGTCATGGCCATTAAGCTTGTGCCACCTGCTCGTGACACCTGCTCGTGACCCGGACAAACACCTATCCCCCTTCCCCCTTCTCCACCACCTTTTCCCCTTTCCGCCACCTTCCCCATCTTAGGTGGGGGCACATGGCACAGGAGCTGCCATTCCCCCAGTGGACGAGCAAGTGCTGGGCATTCACCTCGTGACACCTGCTCGTGGCAGGGATACACACCTTTTCTCCCTCCCGCCTTTCCACCACCTTCCCCCCTTGCCGCCTTGCACCTTAGGTGGGAGCACATGGCACAGGGGCCGCCATTCCCCCAGTGGACGAGCAAGTGCTGGCCATTAAGCTTGTGACACCTGGCAAGGGCACGCTGCACCTGACGCCCGAAGCTGACCCGGACCTGTTTTACCTGGCTCGGTGCGGGCTCGGAGCGCTGGGAGTGGTCGGGGAGGTGGAGTTGCAGGCAATACCAGCGCATAGACTGAGGGAGGAGACGTTTGTTACTACGAAGGAGGAGATCAAGAGGCATCATGGGTGAGTGTGTTGGGAGTGGTTGTTTCGGAAAGGTGGAAACACGTGCAAGGGGTGGTTGGGAAGGTGGTGGGGGAGGTGGAGTTGCAGGCAGTGCCGGCGCACAGGTTGAGGGAGGAGACGTTTGTTACTACCAAGGAGGAGATTAAGAGGCATCATGGGTGAGTAGGCAGTGGGAGGGAGGGCGGGATAACCACTCAGAATTACAAGGAGGACTCGGAGCGCTGGGTGTGGTGGGAGAGGTGGAGTTACAAGCAATGCCGGCTCACAGACTGAGGGAGGAAACGTTTGTTACTACGAAGGAGGAGATCAAGAGGCATCATGGGTGGAAGGAATTGTGGGGGTGACCACTTAGACTAGCACGCAGGGCTCGGAGCACTGGGGGTGGTGGGGGAGGTGGAAGCAGTGCCAGCGCATAGACTGAGAGAGGAGACGTTTCTTACCGATAAGGAGGATATTAAGACGATTTTTTAGGCGCCTCAAAAGTTGTTTCTGATAAGGAGGATATTAAGATGCATCATGGGTGAGTAAGTGGTGGTGGTGGTTGTTTGGGGGAGAGGGTGGAGGAAGTGGGGCAAAGAGGGGTATCAAATGTCATCCTTGCTCCCAGCCAGTGGTTACGGGACTACCAGCATGTGCGCTACATGTGGATTCCACACACACACGCAGGCAGCCGTGGTGGTCAGTTGCAACCCTGTCACGGCCCTTGTAACTAGCACAGTGCATGCTCTTCTGATAATCACAGCACCTTCTTTCCCCTCCCCCCTGTCTCAGCCAGTGGTTACGGGACTCCCAGCATGTGCGGTACATGTGGATTCCACACACGCAGGCAGTCGTGGTTGTGAGGAGCAACCCTGTCACTAACGCCACGAGTGGGAGATCAGCAGTGCAGGGCAAGGGACCCGCCAGTGAGCCGGCGATGGGTGAGGATGAGAAGCTGGCTCACGTGCGAGCGCTGTACCTCGCATCCGTTGCTGCAAGGAGAAGGTGAGATAAGCAGGTGATGATGATGTGAGATGGGCACACGCAGAGGGGTATGGGGATGCTGCACCGTTGAGTGAGGATGAGAAGATGGCTCATGTGCGAGTGCTGTATCTTGCATCGGTTGCTGTGAGAAGAAGGTGAGTGGAATCACCACCAGGATCATATTAGCATGATGACATCCTTCTATGCAATGTGTTTTGGCAGTTGCACCAGGATCATTTCTGTACTCTGTATATTTACCCCTTCAGTTGGTGCCTTGGGTGATTCTATCTATCTACCAAGGGCAAGCATTGCAAGCCTCCTATAACTTTGATTCGGGTCACATTCCGCTTTCTCCTAGTTCAGTTCTGTTTCGGGTTTACATTGTCTCGATTGACATTGTTTCTCTTCCCAACAGGTAGCACCCCATCCATCCACGAGGTTCAGGTTGATTGGCCATGCCATGGGTGCTCTTGAAACGGCTCACATTGTTTCTCAACGAGGTGTTATTCGGCGTCATGTCCCACTTCACCTCGGTTCGATTTGCCTTTGAATCTTACCTCTATCTCATTCCAGTCTCCACATTGTCAGCGTATTTCTGAAAATCTTTAAGCTATACCTATCTTCCAACCCGTTTCTCTCCTCCCTTTCCATCACCATTCCTTCAGCAACAAACCTTCCAGGCCCCAGTCCCATCCACCTTCCTCCTCCCCATCCCCCGCCTCATCCTCCTCTCCTTCCCACGGCCAAAATTCTACCACCGAAGCAGCTGCTGGAATGTGGTCTGGCACAGGTTCGGCCGAGCCTGCGCCGTCGACCCAGCGCTTCCTAACCGAAGCTGAGCTTCAGGAACTGTCTTTCACGAGGCTGAGGGACGAGCTGCTGGCGCTAGATCCATTGAATCTGGACCATGTGCGGGCGATCAACCAGGCCGAGGCACTGTACTGGAAGCTGAGTGAAGGGGAGAGGTGAGAGTGTGTGTGGGTGCTAGATCCATTGAATCTGGACCTGTTGGGGTGATCATTCACGGAATGGCTCTGTACTTGAAGTTGGGTTAAAGGGAGAGGTCGGTGTGTGTGCGTGGTGGGAACTACGTGCTAGCTTGTTTGGACGTGCATCTATTTCGTAGTGGTCAGATCCATCGAATCTGGACCATGTGCGGGCCATTAACGAGTTGACATTTGAGTTGACTCAAAAATCACCTCATGTGAATAACCAGACTGATCACAAGGTATGCGTGTATGTGTGCCTGCATGTGCGTGTATGCGCGTGTGTCTGTGAGTGTGATGTCCGTCTATGCACATGAGGTATGTTGAGCACCCACGCTAGTTTCTCGTTGTAATAATACCTAACATAATAACAATTAGGCGCATTGTACTGAATCAGTATTTCCTTGTGCAGGGAAGGATGGAGCGACCAGATACTGGGCTTTGACTGTGGTGGGCAGCAGTGGGTGTCTGAAGTATGCTTCAAGGCAGGCGGTGGCAGCGGCACCACCACCAGCAGCACCGCCGCCGCCAGCAGCAGCAGCAACGCGGCAGACATAGCTTATATGGAAGAGCTGTTGACGCTGATCGAATCAGAGGGCATCCCCGCCCCTGCTCCCATCGAGCAGCGCTGGACCAGCGGCAGTCGAAGCCCGATGAGCCCCACTGCCGGTGCTTGTAACGCTGCTAATGCTGCAACAGCTGCAGCAGGTTCGGCAGCAAGTTCGGCAGCAGGTTCGGCGGCCGATGGAAGAGCGCTGGATGATGTGTACTCATGGGTATGTGGAAATGCTGCTGACACTCATGCGTGCAGGTGCCGAAGGATGTGTCAGTATGTTTATTTGTTGGTATGTGGTATGATGCTCACTTATATGGGTAACATCAAACAGTATGTAAGGCATCATTATTCACCTCTATTGTTCCTTTCAACACAACCATCCACATCCAAGCTGCCTTCATTCGATTTAACTTTCTCATCACCCTCTTCATCAGGATCTTTTATATACTTGTGCCGGGCTTTCCCATCACATGCAGGTGGGCATAATCATGTACCTGCCTTCCAATGACCCTGACCAACGGGCAGCCATCACCAAACATTTCCTCGACTACAAGTTTTTGACTGCCCGAAGGCTGTGGGACAAATACGGAGCACATGAGCATTGGGCAAAGATTGAGGTACTGTATGACCGTTACAAGTAAAAGAGGGCAATTGATGAGCTTACATCAACGTAAGTTTGGATGTCAAAGGAAGAGGATGTGTTTTTTGGAGGGTTTTTGTTAACTAGTGTTGTTTCCCTCCCTCCTTTTCATAGTCCACTTTTTCCCAACCTTCCTTTCCCATGTTTTCTTTGTGTTCTATTCTATCTCCAACTTCTTTTCTCTCCACTGTTGACTGTTGTTGACATATTCTTTGGATTTATCATCCCTCCATTTCCAAAATTACTTCCTCCCTTTATCCCCAATTGCACAGATCCCCGCTGATCCTGCCACTCGTGAGTGGCTGGTGTCACGCGTTGCTCGCGATTTCCCCGTGGCCAAGTTGAATGAGTATCGCCGGAAGCTGGATCCCAAGAACGTGCTAGCCAATGACATGCTTGATGTGCTGTTCCCTCGTTAAATCAAGACAACTCTTGATGAAGCTGCAATTAGTTCGTCGCAATGTCATGTACCGTAGGTAAATCATTCTTGTAATGGATCAATCCATTCTTGTAATGACATTGTTGTACGCAGCAAAAGCAACATGGGGATGTCATGGTCATGTAGTGTCCATTCCGTCCGTTCTTGTCAGCATGGTGTATAACTGTCTGTTGCAGGCCCTCAGATGTCAGCGTAAAACACGCTGATTACGCTGATTTTGTAGCTCTGAATTTCGTTTTCCCTGGAAAATCAGTAAATGCTTCCATTTTGGGCTGAAATTTCAGTAAATGTGAGTTTGCCACACTGACGGTTTTGTGTGTTTCGGAACGAGTTACACTGAGGAATCAGTATACTTCAGTGCGTCACCCTGAAACGGATTTGACCGGCCGGGGGAAAGGGGGGGGGGGGGGGGGGGGGGGGGGGGGGGGGGCGACGCGTGTACAGGCTGTTCCTTCGCGTGATTCACGAAACCCCACACACACTTGGAATCTTCTCACATGCGCTGTATTTACAGCTAGTGCGCGCCGAACCGTTTTGCCGCGCTGGAAGCCAGAATACCAGAGAACGGCTAACCTAGTTCACAACTGCCCAATGAGAACACAGACAACACACCACTGGTGGCAGGGTCCACGCCAACACGCCAGGGATGGCAGAGTGGAGTGGGGGTGTTGTCATCTTGCCTGGGAAGACGGAAACCCTGGCCTGGACCAAGATCCCTCGTCATCGCAGCTCGGGAGAGTGGGTACCCCCATCTGCTCCCTCATTCTGTTCCTGCACTCCTCGTGAACCCCTGCAGGAAGTGATGTTCGAGCTGAAGCAGGAGTAGCTTCTCCCTCAAGCTCGGCATGCTCTGCAGCGCTGAGCAGCCATGGCGATTTCGACGCCCGCAGGTGACGGCCCTCCGCCCGTCGCAGGCACGAGGCCAGCCGCTATTACTGGCTTAGACTTTTTACGACGCGTTCACGCTGCTCCCGCGTTAGTCCCGCCGTCAGCTCAAGCCGTGCCGTTCCCTTCCACTGGCCCCGAGGCACCTACCATCTGGACGCAGGGCGAGTGTTCGACGCATGTAGGCGCTGCCGCTTCACCTCCTGTCGCTGCTGCATCAACTCGTGTCGCTGCCGCATCAACGCCTGTCGCTGCCGCATCAACGCCTGTCGCTGCCGCATCAACTCCTGACGCTGTCGGATCTACACCTGCCGCTCCCGAACCCACACGGAACCGTCAACCTGTCGCTGCCGGAACTACTCGGCAAGGTCCTCGTCTTAAAAGGGGTATTAAAGTGAGGTACCACCAGACCAAGATCGGGTGGGGTTCTAGTCAAGCTACACCAACGTCCGGTGTGGGTAACTCTTCCCCTAAGGCCCGTCAGCGTAAAATGAAGGGGAAAGCGGTTGAGGTGTCTTCCGATACAGAACTGCCCGACATTGCCGAGGAGAAATACTAAGAGGCTTTAGCTATGTTTAACAAACAATGGTCTGACGACTACCCGTGGCTTGTACTGCTGCAGAATAAAGCAGGGTTCCCGTCAATCAAGTGCAAGGTCTGCAGAGTGATGATGATGGCAGCAGTAGCAGTAGCGTTTCTTCTTCAGATGATGACATGAGCTAGTTCTCTAGTAGTACTAGTTAGGTAGGTTAGGTTAGTGTCAGAATGAGGAATGGGTGTTCCATTGATGTTGGTTGGGGTACATATGACAAACCCTAACTTCTGTACCCCCTAAGACAAACCTCACTACAGGCTACAACATTTGACAGTTAGGTATATTTATTTTGGACTTTTTTACACTGAAAATTTTACCCTGACAGGATCAGTATATTGAAAACCACCAACGCTGATTTGGACACCTGGTTGGCAGGGGCACGCTGATCCATCAGCATACCCTCAAACCAATCTGAGGGCCTGGTCTGTTGGGAAGATACACACTGGCAGTCACACACATCTCAGCAGCAGCTCATCTGAAACAGTAATAACAAGTTGATTCAGCTAACTACCAACATACATTTAAACTTTTAGCAGCAAGCAACCCAACCCTCATGTCACTTGGTTTAGAGGATGCTTTGGATCACTGCAGCAGCAGCATCATCCAAAGCAGTATTACCGCAACAGCAAATTCAGTATCCTAGTTTCTGAGCCCTACGGTGTAACTTACAACATCCCACCTATACGTCACTTGGTTTGGAAGATATTTTGGATCATTGGCCGTGGCACCTCAGCAGCAGCGTCATCCAAAGCTGCAACCTCATTGGACGACAGCCGCCAGCCAAGCGCTCCGAGATTCTCCTTTGCTTGCTCCACGGTCTTGGCTCCTGGAATGGGGACCGTGCCCTTGGCCATGCACCAGTTGATTGCCACCTGATGACATGGCGGGCAGGTGGAGCATATAAAGATGTCACATTAAAAAGACACATTCGAGTGTTTCCATGTGGAGAATGCTGCTGGAATGAGGACCAGACCGCGCCCTTGGCCATGCAACAGTTGCTTGCCATGTATTAGTAGATTGCTGCGTGTTTTGTGAGAATGAGTGAGATCGAGACAGCATGTGATGGAGCAGAAGAGCAGGATGGAGAGCAGAGCAGAGCAGTCAAAAGAAGACACAGCATCACAAGTAGAACAGGGAATGCGGGGCAGTGAAATGACGTAGAAAATTTGGGATGAGATAAGTTTCAAAATTAACTTGCCTGGGGCAGGGTTTTGTTTCGCTTTTCCCCGATTTCCGTCATGAGGCCAAGAAGAGGGTCCAGGCCGGGCAGCAGTTGTTGGAACAAAATACCTCTGGATTGAGAATAAGAAACAGGTGTGGGGGAAGGAGGAGGATGGTTGGAGGGTGCTTGTCAGGAGAGAGGGTGGGCAAGGTTGACAAGAGTTGGGGGGGAGGAGAGGGGTTAGTAGTGCACAGATGAAACAAGGGAGGGTGCAAGAGAATGATGGGATGGAATTTGATGGGCATGGTTAAATGAGTGGCGGCATGGTTGCTTGAGTGGCTGCGGTGCGTAAATGACATGTCAGCATGTCTGTGCCATGCACTCCTCATCAGAATGGTAAGGCTCGTGAAACAGCTATTTTGGTGTTACTTTTGAGCATTCTCAAAAGCAATACCAAGTCAGCATGACTGTGCCATGCATTCCGCCATCAGAATGGTTAGGCTCATGAAACAGCATGCAAGCAAAGCGAGGGCAGATTAAGCAGCGCCTGGAGCCGTTGTGAGAGATTCCGTTAGTGAGCACCTTGGGCCTTGCGGCAGGTTGTCAGCGCTGTATTTCCCCGAGAGCACGCCGAGAGCGAGGGGGGAGTATGCTATAACGCGGATGCCATTGGCCTCACAGAAGGCCAGCAGGTCGTCCTGCTCTTCACCCGAGCTCAAGAGGGAGAATTGCACCTGGTGGCACGGGATGGATGGATGGTTGGACGCATGGATGGGTGGATGGGTGGTAGGCCGGTGAATGGGTGGGTGCGTGGGTGGGTGGGGTGGGTGGACGGATGGGTGGTGTTTGAACTGGGGGCACACAAGGTTACGAATGGTTGGTTCCATGAAGGAAAACTGAAGAAAGGAGTATGAGGTGACGATTGCCACGCTATTGCATGAAGGAACTGAATGGCTCGTGAGCAGTCACTTTAAGTGATGCTCAAAAGCGAGTGATGATTGCCACGCTATGGCATGAAAAGTCACGAAGATGAAGGAGCCCTTGAGGAACCCAATGGCTCGTGAGAACTGAGACGATTTTGTAGGCCCCTTGAGAAACTACCATGGCTATCCATCCAGTACATGACAAACCCACCGAATGGGTTGTGCACTGTGCACAGTGATATAAATCATGGCATGCATTTGGGAGTCGTGCCGTACCTGTGCCGAAGCTAGCGGCACTCCCCGTTCCTGCAGGTAGGTGTAGATTCGCTCGAGTTGCTGTGGGCCGTAGTTGCTCACCCCCACACACTCCACCAGGCCCTGGTGGTGGGGGGAGGAGGAATGTAGACATGGAGTGCTAAGGTTTTGAGTCGACTCAAAACACGAGTTGCTGGGGGCCGTAGTTGCTCACCCCCACACACTCCACCAGGCCCTGGTGGTGGAGGGAGGGGGGATTTAGAGGTGGAGTGGTGTGGGGGGGAAGGACACGAATAAATAACTGAAGTTTTTCAATGCCATATTTTTGCAGGTAGATATTATTTTGCATGGCAAGGGTTACACTACACTCCCTCAATAGCACCAGTTTCATCTCATATGCTCTTGCGTATCTTTACAAGTACCTCTTTGTATGGTATCATCTCACCTCCTCATACTGTTTCATCTCGATCTCACCTCCTCGTACATGGCGACGAGCCCATCCCACAGCACCCTCTCCTGCAACGGAGCATAGTTGGCAGCAGACCAGTGCAGCTGCCCTATCGCCAGCTTCTCCAAGCCCAGGCGATCCAGTGATGCCCTGATGGGTAAAAAAGGTGAAGAATTGAGGAAAGAAGGGGGTACAAAAAAGAGGGGAATATTTTATAGAGGAACATAGATGGCTGCGGACCAGTGCAGCTGGCCTATCGCCAGCTTCTCCAAGCGCAGGCGATGCAATCCAGTGAGGCTCTGATAGAGGGTGAATACAGAAGGGACGTTGCCTGCACCTGCAGATCAATGCAGCTGGCCTACTGCCAGCTGCCCCAAGCCCAGACGATTTAGTGGAGAGGAGGGAAACATATGGAGGATATGAGAGGACAGAAGCGAGGAGGAGAGCCGTGAATACCGCAGGAGGTCTAGATGTGGACCAATGAACTGGCCTATTGCCTGTGTCTCCATGCTTACCATCTGTGCTGTGGGTGGGAGAGCGGATGAGGCGTCAGGGAGGCACGGCCGGCTTGGTGGCAATGCGGATGATGTGAGGCCGCTCACACTCACTCTAACCGCCCTTGTCTTCCCCCATCTCCCCATCTCCCCATCTCCCGCGAGTCCCCCCTCACCTGCAGGCGCTCACCATCTGTGCAGGCGTGAGGCGCCAGGGAGGCGCGGCCAGCTTGGTGGCAATGCGGATGATGTGAGACCCAAGCTGGCCGCATTGCCAATGGCAGCATGCTCACACTCACTCCCATCTCCCTTGTCTTCCCCCATCTCCCCATCTCCCTTGTCTTCCCCCATCTCCCCGTCTCCTCTTCCCCCATCTCCCGCGAGTCCCAGCCCTCACCTGCAGGCGCCCACCATCTGTGCGGGGGTGAGGCGCCAGGGATACGCGGCGAGCTTGGTGGCAATGCGGATGTCACTGCGGTACTTGTCACTGCCTGGCGTGGGGTGGGGTGGGGTGGGGTGAGGTGGGGAAATGGGAAAGATGCAAATGTTGCATGATGATGGCGGTAGGAGACACCAGAACTGAGTCCGGATTTCGAAGACAAGCCTGTAACAGGTCGTAGATTATGACAGGAGGAGACGCGAGCGATGCGGTGGGAGAAAGAACGAGAGCGGACTAATTTGGACGAAGAGAGAGAGCTAGAAACCTTTGTACCAGGAAGGGCTCCTCCTTACCGGGGTACTCTTTAATGAATTGGCCCAGGAGCTGCTCGCTGCGGCCGCTAAGCGCTCCAGTTCCGTAGGAGTCAGCCGTGTCGAAGATATTAATCCCGCGCGACACGACCAGGTCAAATACCTCCTTAAGCTCCTCGTCCATTTCCTTGTCGTATCCCCACAGGAACTTATTTCCCCACGCCCACGTTCCGAGGCCCATAGGAGACACCGAGAACGGACCGAGCCGCACCTGATAGAGGGCGTGTTTACACAATGCGTCGTGTTTGGTGGTATGGTGATGGAGGAGATTTATGAAAAGTAGACGGCTGTTTCTACAACAGCAACCAGGTTCACAATCTGCTATTCCAAATACCTGATTCAAACGCTTTGCTAAAAAAAACCCAGCTGCGGCCACACGCAATGTCTCCCACCGTTTGGCAATGGTGCGTCTTGCTCGCACTGTTGTTTCAAAGACAGTCACAGCTTACCCTACGAGGCCAGCAGTGGCTTACCCTTTCCCACGGAGCATACGCCCATCCTTCTCGGAACTCTCCCGAGTCGCTTTCCGGAGCGCCTCGTTTTGTGAAAAAGTCTAGAATGGCACGCGCTTCGACTTGAAGTACGGACCTCCTAGCGGCGTTTCGGGACTGAACCGGTACCACGCGACTCGATGCTAAGCTCTTGCTTGGGAACTTGTGAGAAGCAAGCGACCCTGCGTCTCGCGAAACGGGGCCTGAGAGCACGCGATTCGACCAGCTGAGCGACGTGGCAGCCATGGCTAAATTCCTGAAAATTTTGTGAAATGGGAGACGAACACTTCACGGATTAGAAGAATCAAAGACAAATGTCAGGTTTCGGCTTGGTTCAATTGGTTTTCAGTCGGTGATGCGGGTATGAATGGAGCTTTTGATGTGCTGGCTGTTGCGAATTTAGATAATGCGCTTGATTGGACAGACAAGATTCGTGAGCTGTGCAAACCGTCGATTGCACTGTAAACACAGCTTATCTACGATCACGGTTTGCCCGCAAGCCATCGAGATCGCACTTGGATTTGACACCCGAAGCAGCAGCGATGGGCATCGTTACAGTTCGCGAAATCGCCATCGAAAAGTATTACCCGTTTGCAAGCTCGCAACACATTTTCCCCAACCATTTGATGTAAATTTACTGAGGGGCAAAAAAAGTGGCCATCAGTAGTCTGATCAGCAGGATGTGCGCGACCTTACTAGTTATTTTCTGAGCTCAGTACTTCGTCGTTCAGGCATAACTGAGGCGACCGCGCAGTTAGGCTCGGGTCGAGTCGTACGCTGACGCATATAGTACTGCATGGGGTAGACGAGGTGGGTGTGACCGACGAGGTCAGGGGAAGATCATGGCGTTTAGAATTAGGCGCTTCTTATGCGCATTGAAGCTGCGTAAATCGCTCAGATGCTACGATCCACGCGAACTTACTTTTGTACCCGGAACCAGCTATTCCAACTCGAAGGTCGCCATCCCTCCCGTGCTTTCAGTAATTAAAACCGCTCCACAAGGACCCTTTGTCTCAGATTTCACTTTGTCAGAGACATCGGCAGCAGGAGCTCCCAGGGATGCGAAGGGACCCGAAAACCGTTGCGGAAGTGGAGCAGCGTCGCGAGATTTTGAGGCGCCTCAACGATCAGTGTCGCCAGCTGCTCCAAGGAGCCTCATGAGCACTGATTTGGCGAGGTCGGGGAATTCGGCCAGTTTCGCTAATTTGGCGAAATCTGGAATATTAGCTCTTTCGTTGAGAGGCACAGTGGAAAACACGGAGGCTCCAGCTGCTCGAGCAGCACTCGCTTATGGTACCTCCTGTCAGGGCACAGCGTCTATCCATCTTTTCAAGAGAATCAGCGCCAGAAATACCATTGGACACGTCAATCCCTTGTCTGACCTGGGTTTTGCCACCTCAGCCAGATATTCCACAACGTCATTTCAAAATTCCACGTCTGAGATGGGTGCCACGTCGTTGCACCCCACCAACCCAGCCAAAGACCCCGTCAAGCCAACTGCACGGCGTCCCTTAGCACCCAACGAGGCGCTGCGAGTGTTTGTAGTTGCTGGCGAGCCTTCAGGGGACGCGCTAGGGTGCAGATTAATGGCGGCTTTGAGAGACGAGGTTAACAGGAGGAAAGGGGAGATTTGGGAGCAGGTGGAGGAAGGAAGCTTCCAGGAAAGGCGTTCAGGGACTGTTGAGTTTCAAGGTGTGGGAGGGTGAGTGTGGGGTGCGTCTAGTGAGCAAGTGAGGGGTGAGTGAGTGAGTGAGTGTATGAGTGCCTGTGTGAGTGGGTGAATGATCCAGCACGTGAGGGTCAGAGGGAGCGATTGACACACCTTACCTGAACATTACTAGTACCTCCCCCCCCTTTCTTCCGTTCCCCACCTGCTTCTGTGACCTTCCACCCACATTAATTCCTGGTTCAGGAATGCAGGAGTTCATGAGTGAATTAGTGCGTGAGTGCATGTGCGATCTTTCACCTTCCTTTTGTAGAAATACCTTTTCAGGTTCCCTCACCCACAATCCAATTTCTGCATTTCTTTCTTCCCAGCACCAGATGCAGCTTCTTTGTTCTCAATACATGCTGATGCAGGAACTCTTTTTGCGAAGGTCCTCTCTCCCTCACTCCAATTTCACACAAATTCGTGTTTTCTAAACTTGCCCCACCGCACTCCATTCCATCTCCCTCTACACACAATCCCCATCACCCTACACTGTCACCACTCCCACCTCGCTCACTGCAGCTTTGGGTGGCACCATATTGGTCTCTTGTCTCAAATCAGTCCTTGTGCAGACAGCCACAGCTAACACCCGTAGCTGCTGTAATTAGGCTATTCTTTATGTGCCTTTGACACCGTTGGTACTCGCACACGCGCAGTCACTCAGCATACCTATTTCCGTCCATCCTTTCTCCACACACGATCCCATTTCCTCCACATGCAATACCTTTCCTTCCACTCACAATCCCCCCACCCAAACCCACCCTCTCCACCAAAGCCCCTGGATGGCTTCACAAGGCCTCAGCTCTCTCCTCCCAATGGCAGACCTTTCAATGGGGCTTCATGACAGCCAACCCACATATCCTCCCTCCACAAACGTTCATGACAGCCAACCCACACATCCTCCACCCTCCACACACATCCCCCACCCCACCAATCCCACAGCCCCTGGATGGCATCGCAGGGCCTCAGCTCTCTCTTCCCAATGACAGACCTTTCAATCATGGGCTTTGTCGAACTCATTCCTCGCATCCCACTCCTATGGGTACACTCCTCTCTCTCTCACCGTGTAATCATGTGTAATAGCAATGTGTGCTCCTATGCGTTGAAAACGTTTTTTTGTTTACATCATATGTCATTGAATATGGCGTTTCACACTTGCATTACCTGTTTTGGGGAGTATACGGCCACAGTCATGACTTTTGAGGCGCCTCAGAAGTTGTTTTGGGGAGTAGACGGCCACAGTCATGGTGATGCCATGATACCCCTCCCCCTCTCCCTCCCCTCTCTCCCCCCCCCCCCCCCCCCCCCCCCCCCCCCCTCTCCTCCTCCTCCCCCTCCTCTCACTCCCTTCCCAGTATCGCCTGCGCCAGGCTGTCCGGCACGTGGAGCAATCTCAGCCACACATTGTCATCACCATCGACTCCAAAGGCTTCAATTTTCGCCTGCTAAAGGCTATACGAGGTCGGATCTTGCACTGAGTTGACATCTGCTGAGTATTAAGTTGACTGAAAACTGGATAAACCTTTTATGACTTTTGAGCCGAGTGGGAGATCGGACAAATTCCTGTGGACTTTGAGTCGACTGATAGAACATTGTCATCACCATCAACTCTCCGGATTCCTTCATCTCACCTGTTAAAGCCCACAAAAAGGTCAAAATTTGCACTCCAATGACTCCTGTTAAAACCATCGTCACGATGAAGTGTGTGGTTACTTTGTGCTTTTACGTGCATCTCCAGGTAAAGACAAGCTGCGTAGGCAAGGAGAGGAGGCTCCACTCTGTGTGCATTATGTGGCGCCGTCGTTTTGGGCAGTCAAGGGAGGCGAGCGCAGACTGCGAGTATGTTTGAGTGTGATTATGTTGAGGTGAATGTCTGTTTAATTATGTGCATGTAAATTGTGAATCCACCGTTTCCACCACAGCATATTTCCCATTGTTGTATATGTCAGCTCCATGGCTGTCTTGTTTTAGATTTCTGCTTTCTCCCACAAACCTCCTGCCCTCCCCCAAGCAGAATCTCTCACCGTTGATGGACCATCTTCTATGCATCCTGCCTCATGAGCCTGCCACGTGCCAGCAGCATGGCATCCCAGCAACGTATGTGGGGCATCCGGTTCTTGAGACCATAGCTGAGGATCGGAGTACCAGGCAGAGTGGGGAAGCAGGGAGAAAAGATGTTGGGGAGTGGAGAGGGGAAGGTGGGAGTGGAGAAACTAAAGAAGCAGAAGAGCCAGGAGAGGAAGGATTGCGAGGAGATTGGGGTTATAATGTGGTGAATGGACCATGGTGGAGGGCGAGTGGGGATGGAAGAGCTTTCCGGCAGCAACACGGCATTCCAGGTAAGGTTTTGTGCTATGGGCATGTGAACTTGCAATGTTCTAGAGGCTGATTGCTTGCCATCTGAGTCTGATTTGGAGGTTGATCAAGTATGCACTCAACTGAAGTTGCTTCTTTATGTTTTGCCCTTTCTCAGTCGGGCCCCAACACATAACCATCTGCCTGCTTCCAGGAAGCCGCCTGCAAGAAGTATCCAGGATGCTGCCTATATTCCTTCAAAGTGTTAAGATTCTGACCGCATCAGAGTGGCTCAGGGATTATTTGGATTCCCAGGGTTCAGGTGGAAAACTGTCACTGGTTATTCCAACCCTTCCACGCTCTTCAGAAGTGACTGTCCTTGTCCAAAACATTCTTCATTCATGGCTTGAGTCTTTAAAATCTAAGAACTCCAGCTGGAGGTTTCCATTCAGTTTATCTCAATCTATGGAGACTGATTTAGTGGTTGATGTTGCAGCTGCAGTAGTGGTTCCTGCACCGGAGGGCAACACTTGTGCAAACAGAACAAGCAAAAGCAAAACGATCAAGACTGGTCCACATACGGACGCACTTGCTGTGAGATTCTGAGATTGCATTCCCCATCCAGTTCCATCCCTATTTCATGTTGTCGTGCTTTGAATTCACTGATAGTGGTGGTCTCCTGTGCCTTAATCCTGTCATAACCGTGTTTTTGCATGCAGGCATGTGATCTTGCTCTCTGTGTTTCTGGTTCAGTGGTGCTTGAGGTGCTTCGCTCGCAATTACCCCTGGTTGTGACGTATAAGGCCCACTGGATTACTCAATTCATTGTCAAGAGATGGTATGTAATGTCATTCTTGATATGTTTTGGCTGCACAGAACTTGGTAAGGGGCTAGGTCCATAAATTTTGATGTGATGTGACCGGTATTTTCCATCCACTCCATCAGTTTGGACTGCTTTTGTCTGCATTTCAGGGCTTCTATCCAGTTTGCATCACTGCCGAATATTCTCCTTAACAAGCCTTCACTTCCTGAGGTCCTTTTTTCTGAGTGTACCTCACACAGGCTGTCATCTGTTATCAGGTATGCGTGCATCATTGTGTCTATCTTTACCCATCTTGCAAAATGGAACCACGGCCGTTCTAAGCATGTTATGGCACCTTATATGACAAGCTTGTGTTTTGTTATTGTGTTGATGAAAGTACATCACTGAGGATGCCTTTTTTATTCGCCCAGGAATTTGATGGAAAACTTCGACAGCTGCAAGGCTGACCAGTGCGCTACTGCTCAACTGCTCTTCAATGCTTTGCAAGAGCCCCTGAACAGAACTGATGGACATGCTCCTAACTCCAGGGAAGCACCCACTCCCAGCAAAATTGCAGCAGAAGTAGTTATTGATCGGTTCCAATAAGTAAATTGATGACCATATGCATGTTCTATGCTGCAGTTGGGTAGTGTAGATTTATCTGATTGATCCTCTTGCCCAGGCCGGTTTTGGCACCTTCAGCCGCCTCTGGAATCACCGAAGACTCATCTTTATCTGTCTGACTTGGTTGCTGCATGTTACAGTAATTGTTGCGAAACTCTTAATCCAGATATTCGCCCTCCAGTTCCTTTGAGAACTTCGCATCTCACTTTCAGTCCTGTAAATGAACCTCATGAATGAGACTTTAGGAGCTCTAGGAGAATAATGAGACTGTTTACCATACCTTCATTAGGCTGCAAGTTCGTGCTGGCAGCAACTGCATGGGACCGTGCTATACTCCTGAAAGGGAAGAAGAGTTTAGACCATTTCACCCCCCCAACAACAAACCAGACAGTCAGTGGCATCAGTACCTTGGTTGCCAATCTCCATTTGGGGCGACCCATTTGCTTGTGTTCAGAATATCTATCCAGGATACAGTCAGCAATTACAGCACAATCCTACATCCGGCCAGTAATGGAGTTGCGCTTACCTTTTAGCTCTTGACGGCCAATGGTTCCTGCATCAAAAAGTCCACCAGCAGCTTGGGGACAGTGAAACGGCGCTTCGTGTGAGGCTAGCTGCTCGTATTTCCACTCCCCACATTTCCACTCATCATGTAGAAACAGCTCATAATGCCTTGCGTCAAGTGTTTGCATGGTGCCTGTGCAGGGAAAAGCGTTGCTGTATGGGTTCGTGTTCAACGAAGCGGAAGTTGAAGCCGAATCATCTTACCTTCACACGTTTTGAGGCTGCAAACAGGACAGCGGACAAGGTGGAGATCTGTACGACGCAACAGTGTTGTATTAGGAATGTGTCAGCATATAGATTTAGCCAAAAAACATCAGCAGTCTACCTGCAATCCATATTCCGTTCTGGACGCCGTCAATTGTCCAGGAAGCCATCAAGCCGCAGTCTTCATTGCACTGAAACCACGCCTGGCGTAAGTTTCAACAACACGAACCGCTAAACTACCTAGTGATGCGAGTCTGACCTCTGAGTCTCCCTCCCGCTGGAATCCAGCTGCCTTTTGAAGTGTGTCGGTCGCTACGACTCTACCGCTGGTGACCGAAAATGCTCCAATTCTCATCCAATCTGGAAGACGAAGTAAATACGGCTGTCGCGAAAATCAAGCAGGAGATCCTTGTGTCGTCACTTACCAATGTGTTTGTCGGATTGCCTTGAGCTGTAAGTGTGACTGCCGTCTGTAAACCAGATGATAGGGGTCAGACATTGCACGCCTGATATCCAGAGTAAACAAAAAATGTAGTACCTATAATGCTTTTGTAGATGTCCAGCCAACCAAATTGGGGCTTATTAGAGGGTGCATTGCAGCCCAGCTCCCGTAGACAGCGAGTCTTCCATGTGTATTCTTCCATGGCAATAGATAGAAAGGACTTATTGCATAATGCTAGGGACATAATATCTCGACCGTCGAGCTTTTCCATAATTTTGCCCCATGGAATCGACGATTCCATTGCAGAGCAACGATGATGTCTCTGCAACTTGAAAACAGATTCCATTCAGACCAGCATACCTAACCTTGTGAGGAAACATTCCTTTGTAGTGCATCACTTATCAACAAAGCATGTGAGATCGGTGATGTCTTTTGGCGGGAACTGAAATTCGGGAAAGTAGCCGTTGTGCCTTGGTGTGGGTGGGATCCCCCAAGGATGAAAATTCGTTGGAGGCGCTTCCCTGTTAGTAATTCAGATGGTTACGCCACCACAACACTGAATTGAAACAAGTTATGCCAATCATGCTAACAGCCTACCCACCCATACCACCTAAGAAAAATGCATTATTATATCAATTTCAAGGACTATAAAAATGGAATTATCCTATGGTTCTCATGTACTTGGGCTCAATTATGTATATTAGAAAATCACATCCTATTGAAATCTGTTTATTTTGACTAATGATGCATTTCACAGTTCTTTTAAAAGGCATAATTCATAATTTATTAATAATTATCCCAGATATTGTGTGTGTCTACGTATCTAGTTAAGAACTTCATTGTAGAGCATCAAAGTAGATATTGTGAATCGTGATACACCTTTTTGTAGTTGTCTCGATATAGGGCCTTCATAATCCAACCCCGATCACAGCGAAGCCGTTCATCGTGATTGCCGTTTTGCGAACTGTGAGCAAACAGGAAATGACCTTTCAAGTTTGAGATGAACCATAGCGGTCTCCATTGTGGGTGTCTTCTATTTGTCTTCCACTAACGCAGCTATGGGCAATGCACAAGGGCACGCAGGGGCGGATTCAACAGCCGAGACTTACTCTCGCGTCGTTTTTACTGGTCTCGATGCACACAATGACGGAAGTGGGGGACGCGTTTTATTCATCGCAGAAGACAAAGATAGCATAGAAGATCCTCCGTATGCGAGCTCCGAGTCAAGCTTACGCTTGTCTGGAAGTCTCTGCCAATCGAATCTCGACGCCTTACTTTGTGGCCCTCAACCCGTAGACCTTACCAAACACCAAGATACACAGGACACTCATCTGTCTAAGATTCCTTCTAAGCTCAGCTTTTCCGTGACAACCGATGATACACAGGTGACACATAAAGCGTTGGAGATTCAAGTGGATATGCGCACACCTTGGCGGCAATGGGATTTTCAACACCAGAATTACGCCATTATTACGTCACGGGAAACGTCATCCGGCTTCACTATTGCACCTGCGGAGACGTCACCTAATATACAACTCAGCAAGAAACAATTTCTGTTTCTTGGTTTGCAATTCTTGAAGGCCTTACAAAAAGAAGCAAGGTCCAGTAAGTAATTTCGAGGTACTAACTTTCTTCTGTTTACTTTTCGTGCCGCTCATACTCCTGATTTGCCTGCGTAGAGAAATACTGGAGAGGTACCGCCGAAAAACTCAGACATGAAATACACGAGGAAAGGAGGCGGCGAGACATTGTAACAGAAGATCTTTTAAAGGAAAAGAACAAGCTAATCGACGAGCTTGCTCATTCGACATTACATACTCGATCGCTCATTAAGGCAAAGAGCGACCTTAATGGTTGTATTGAAGAATGTAGGGCTGTAAATGTCATTCTGGACTTACTCAACACTGGCAGTATTTTCATGAGTTAATGTTTTTCAGG